GCCTTTGGGGGAAGAGCCGGCTTGAATCGTCTGTACCTATAGGCATCCTGATCAATTGATCTTACACTCCTAAAGTCTAAGTTTAAACTTAGTAACAATTATTAATCGTACAATGTTAACTAAGACAGGGATTGTTTGAATCCATCAAAACACGTCCGTCCTATCGAATGGATGCGGCCGATGGCCGTCTAATATTTGAAAACGTACCGTCTGCTCGATAGACAACTAACCACTTAGTTTGGGTCAATCACCATAGTGATTGATTGCCTTTGAAATTTGTCATACTCTTTCAAGTATAAAATTTTTTTAAGTCAATCAACCCATCTTTTAAACCAAGTGCACAGCCGTCCAGGGGAACGAACAACCAATATATATATATATGTAACATAAAGATTGCATGTATAGAATAAGGCAAGTTAAATACTTAGTCAAATTCATGCATAGCAAAAAAATCCAAGAACTTGAAAATTTTGAAAGAATGCAGAGCAGTGAAATAAAACCGACCATACAGTCGGCTAATTCATAAATATTAACACCAACCCCACGGTCGGTCAAAGTTGAAATTGTTAACCGGTATACTAATCGACAGAAAGAGAAGAATCATTGTTTAACCTGACTCCACAGTTGGTAAAAGAGACATAATTACTCGGCACGCAGGGCGGAAAAGCATAATACCAAGCCGTCTGGCCAAAGGAAAGACATAAAAGCTTAACTGTCAGGGGGGAGCTCCTCATCATTGGCAGCCGCCATATCAGCATCCTTGGCTGGTTGCAGCTCTTACTCCTGCTCAAGCTCAAGCTCCTCCTCATCCATTAAATCGGTCGCCTCCTCCATCCCTTTCTACAACTACTTCACATCAAGATCATCTTTGGCCGCCGCATAATGACACGCCCAGCCGGCATAGTCACTCTCTAGAAAGAGATCTTTCCAAGTCATCCTCGGCCTCATTCTCAGCGATCAGCTGAGCCTTCTCTTCCTCGGCCCTAGCCTGGATCTCTTGGTTGGACAACTTGCGTTTCAAGGCCGCATTCTGATTGTGAGGGCCTTCGGCCTCCTAATTAGCATCCTCCAAGGATTTGAGGTTGGTGTTAGCCGTCTTAAGCTCAGCCTCCAGCTCAAACACTCTCTTCTGGGCCGCTTCCAAATCGGCCTTGACCTGCAGATTGGTCGTCGCCTATGAATGCAGAATATCACGGGTCAATGAATTATTTTTAAAGGTATCAAAAATGGCTTTGTCAAGGGCAGAGGCGACGCGTTCGTTGGCAGCTTTTACCTCTTTTTGCTTGTCAGAGAATGGCTTCTTGAGCCCATTCACCCGCAGCATTGCCTGCATCTGGAAAAATCATTCTGTTAATAACAGTCGGCATATAAGTTAGAGAAAATCTACTAACTCAAATTAGTCTACCTCAACAAGAAGAGTGAGGATGACATCAAAATTAAGGGTTCCAACTCCCATCACAGACTTCCTTTCAGGTGAGGAGACGACCTTCAGCATATTTATTGCCATCTACAGCAAATCCAACCCTTGGCTGCCATCTGCACATTCAACACTTCGTAAGTACTTGATATAAGCTTAACTCCTTGACGAAGCCTCTTTAGAGATGCTGGCCGACTATTGATAAGACTTTACCCTACAAGGGTAGGGCAAAGGATTTGGCTGTAATACCTTTGGGGAGGTCCACCTCTCTTTCCTTCAGGCGCCCATCCCTAAGCCCGTATGTAGCTGCTGAGCCGGTAGCAGCGGTGAGTGGCTTGCAAATCTTTGACACCTTTTCAGTGTCTGGCTTCTTTAATGCCTCAAGTGAGGCAGGAGACATGCCGCCTGTGGATGGATGGGAATCACCCGCAGACCGGGCAGCAAACGGGTTCTGGTGCGCCACAATTTTCCTTGACTTTGTGGGCGTCTGGTCTTCATGGGTCGTTTGCTTCTGAGGCTTCTGGCCAAACTGAGAGGGCATAGACGGACGGATAGGCCCTTCCTACACAAAGTCACATGTTAGCATCAGGCGGAGCATGCCGCTTGTATATGCAAAGTAAACACCCAAGGGTGGAAGAACTTACATGATCGAGCTGAGCTTGCTCAAACTTCCTTTTGGCCATCTGCCTATAGGCGGCTACAGTATTGGCCGGCTTCTTTCTGGAGGAAACGTTCTCCATTTCTTCGTCTACAAAAAGCAAGCCGGATGCAAGCATAAAAATATATATATAAATATATATATGTACCATCTGACAACCACTCAAACCTATGGATATAACTATGGGGGATTATTTCTCTCTCCTTCTTCCCCTCAACGGTTTTTATGGTAACTTTGAAGAGGCCAGGCTCAAGAATTTGTCTCAACCCTTTTCAGTGACAAACAACATAATTGCTTTTTGCCCTAGAAGATAGGGCCTTTAGTTCCAAGATTTGAACTTCCGGTTCCTCTTGGAATTCGATGAAGAAACAATGAAAAACCTCTTTCGCCAATCTTTCCACTTGGATTCATTTCCAACCGCCATAATGTATCCTTTGTGGCCGGTCAAGGTATACCAGCCAGCGCCTTGCGCCTTTGGAGCCTTGCTCAAATAATGCATCTTGGCGAAGGATTCAAAACCAAGCTCAACGTCGAGCATCTCGCAGGCAGCAACATACCCCAGTATGTTCACCCAAGAGTTGGGGACAAGTTGCTAGATACCCAGGCGGTACCCATCAAGAATCATCTCCATGGCCGGATGGAGAAGGAATCTAAAGCCTGCTTGAATGGCCGCTTCGTAGCAGCCAAAGCATTGGTCCCCATAGCTGGACCCAAACGGACAGACGACCGTGTCATCCAAGTCAGGGACATGGAGTTCATAACTACCCCCCATGACATAGGTGTCGTGGAATTCGTCCAGTTTCTTGGACATAATTTTGTGTGTGTTTGCGGTGATATGGGTGAAATAAGGGGCAAACTCCTCTTGAGAGGTAGAAGTCTCTCCTCTCCCTCTCTCTACAGAGGCAACCTCACCTATCGATGCCGGTGGCTCTACAGAGCTCTCATCCTCCCTATTTAATGCAGACGACCCTAATCCAGCCTCAGAGCCGCTTAGCTCAGCGTTCGAATGGGACGAACCTTGTACAAAGCCGGAAGTACTACTCACAGGCTCATCTCTTGACTCGTCCAAAATGGAGTCACCTGGAGTACTCCTAAAGTTAGGCGGATGGTCAAAGACTTCACTAGTCGCCACCTTAAGGGTACCATCTTCATTGAGCTCTTGGCCTGTTCTCTTCATTCTGGCCATAGTGTCCTGCACAAACACAAAGACGATCGGATTCGGGGATGTTCGCAAGAGGGAGTCCAAGTAGGGGCAACCGACACTCCTAGTCCTAGATTCAGCCAACCTAGGTGACCGGTTGACAGCTACTTTAGGTTGTGTCGTGTGTGTTTGTGAAACCATTTTGTAAAGGAAAGAAAACACAGATGGAAAACAAAGCAAGAAAGAGATGAGAGAAACAGGCGATTACCTTGTAAAAAGAAGGTATTGTTGAACCGTTGAAATTTGTGACGGCTACGATGTAGGTGGACAGAACACAAGCAGCTGAAGTTTTTCTCTCAAAAAGTCAAATTCTCTGAAAGATTTTTTTCGTGAAAGTGCGAAAATGAAGGGGGTAAAACTTATTTATAGAGGGGGGAAATTACAAGGTGCAGGGGCATCCCTGTAATATCCCCGTAAGGTGAACAATAAAAATACTTGTCACCAACGCATGCGTGCCAAATGTCACAGGCGCCACATGTCACAGGCGCCACGTGGCATGCCACGTCACCCCTGTGAGGGGAAAATGATTTGGGTAAAAAATACCTAAGCCACGTGGACAAACCTGAATGTGACACGTGTCACCACAGGAAATGCCCTAAACGGGCCAATTAGGATAAGACATGTGGCACGCTAATATTGTAGGAAAATGGCGGCCCTTAAGGGCCCAATTCTCAAAGCGTCGTAACACGGCGCAGCCCACCAAATCTAGATCTAAATGACCTATGTAAGGGCACTATTCCCAATACCCTATAAATAGGGACATTTACCCCATTTTGGGGACACGTTCATTTATTACAAAAAACACAATTCTCTTAAAACACAGAAATCACCTGATCTCGGGATCCGAGAAGATTCACTTTACTTTCCGCAATTTACTCAACTTCGACTCTTACTAACTTGATTGTCGGAGGCGGAACTCTATACAACCAGAGCTTTGGTGTGCTTGCAGGTACATGCGAAGAGGATCCAGTCTTGGTGACGTAACTCTCTTGCAGGACACATAAAAACCCTGAAAACACTTATTACCACTAATTTTAAACAACATTATAATTAAATATTTAAAAAATTACACCCAGCACATATACACACTTTCACCTCAACTACAACATGTATTTCTTCCCGGCCACCAATTTCAATGATTACTTACAATTTCCATTATTATAGATCTACAATTTAGTATATCAATTCCCTTAAAATAAAGTCAAATATATACTATAACTTACAAGATCTGGTTGAAAGCTTCAACCTTGCTCCTTGGATTGATGCCTCCGATCCTCCTCCTCCATTTTCAACAAATTGATGAATTTATCAATCCTCTTGCTGCTAGAAATATGGAAAAATTTTAGCTACTTTCTTCCTCTTATTGGTGCTTCAATTGATAATGGAGAAATTACTTTTTTCTTTCTTTCTTTCTCTTCCTTGGATTCTTTCTCCCTCTCGAATACTTTCTTCTTCTTTTGGAGTCTCAATTTATAATGGGAGTTGACACTAACTTTAACTAATACATGTATTTTTATATAAATGGTATAATTACAATAATATTTGTGAGTAAGGTCGGTGTTTGACGAGGTACCTCTTTAGAGGAATGAAGTGAAATATGGTGTTTCACCATATTAAATCTCATGGTTTTTTAGGTATATGTTGGTATGATAATTAGTTAGATTGATATGTCTTTCATACCAAAAGAGTTGTTATGGAGACTATCATTGAATTTTCCGTCATTGTTGGTTTACTTTGTCATGTTGCTGGTGTTTCATAGAAGTTTAACGAAATAATACTACACTTCACGATTTTCGAGACATTGTATTATATAAGTGGGTGGCATTATACTGCAAAAGTGGCCCTCTTAAAAGCAAAATTACTTTTTTTTTTTTTTTTTTGAGTCACATGACTTTTTTTTTTTCTCTTCTCTTAATCTATTTTAATTTATAAGATAGTCCTTCCTAGAGGCATTCTCTATTAGCTAGAGCCTGAGAACCCCTCATACTTCCTCAAATAAATGTCCCGCTCCCCCCATGCTCAAAACACACACACACAAAAATCCTTTTATCTAACGAACAGCAGTTACACTTGGACTGAAGTTCGCACCAGAAACTTCTTTCATACTACTATTCATATTTTTATTTATTCAAATATTTCCAATGCTATTTCAATCAACTTATTGTTTTATCACATTTCATTGCAAAATTTTGTCAATTTTCAATTGAAATTTTTTTTCAAAATGATGTCTACTTTCAATTTCGCTGAAAATTGTTTGAGAGCTGCAATTGTTGTTGAAGCTGAAAGTGGTTATCGGAATATTTTGAGAAGAAATGAGGTTTTTATCTTTCAAATTTATTTTTAAATTTTTTTTTCAAATTTTTAAATTTGTTAAATTGAATTTATTGCCGAAATTTTGCAGGTATAATCAGGTTTTGGTGTCGAAGATATCGAAATTTTGCTACAGATCAAAGCATAAAGTGGCGGGAAAGCTATTTGAGGAGGTAGATGATTTGGGTGTTGGAAGAATTCCTGATTGCCCTAAGTATCTTGATAAGGTTAATTCAATTATTATTTGCATTTGTTTGATTAATTGTTTCTTTTATATTTAATTTGTGGACTTATACAACATAATTTTCCCTGCATTTTGTTATTATTAATTTGAAAATCGAACAATTTAGGGATTATTGTTTGTGTTGAATAGTTTGTTCTTTAAGAGTGATGTGTTTTTGAAGATGATTTGTGATATTATTAGAGTATTAAAGAGCTTGTTGGTTAGTTTGTGTGCCGAATTTTCGAGTTTGCATCTTTAGCTTATTAACTCGAGTTTTTGTCAACTGTAGAGGAGAATTGATGTGTGAGCATCCGTGGCTTCTCTTACTTAGATGAATATTTGTCTAGATTCGGCTCACACGTGTTTACCATTCATTTGAGTGGCTTTTGTGTTTCAAGCAATAGATATTGCAAGTGCTGTATAATTTTGTTAAGGATGCATGTATAAACAATGCTTACAAATGATTAAATGTCTAGTAATGTCAGATTAGGGCGGTATGACCATTTGAGGGGTGGAATTTTGTTTCGAGGATAATCTGACTGCCTATTCTTAGTTTATGTGGCTAGAGAAGAATGGTAGAATTTTCTGAAACAAGATTCTTGGTTTCGAGGTTTTGTAGAATGAGCTATTTATCTTCATGGCTACTGCCACTACTCTATGAGGTTTTCTTAGTTTTTACGTGGAAGATTATATTATCATATATCCCCTAATCCCTTTATACTGTAGGCTTCCGCTTGAATGATGTAAAAATACAAATTTTTAGTTTCGAGTTGAAATGGAGGGAACACTTGTCAAAAACTGTACGAGACTCTTTGATTTTGTTATTATTATCTTTGGTTTTGGTGGATAAGATGACCTTTATACAATCCAAAATTGGCTTTACTGCTAAGGGATTAGGGGAGTGAGAAGGGAGTCTTGGGTCAAAGTAGATGCCCAAATTTGTCTTCTTCAGTCATGAAATTGGAATCATGGTACTTAGGAGCCCAACTTAATGGTTAGCAGAGCTTTCAGGAATAATTATTCTTGTTGGCCATAACTTGTGCTGCTTATATGTAATATGTTACTTTCCTATATTTTTGGTTGTGTATGTTATTTATGAGTTTCTGTGTTGTTCCATTTCCCCTTCACAGGTCTCCGTTATGCTGGGGTACAGTAACCTTGATGGTTTAGTAAATCAAAGAATTCACAAGGAATCAGGTTTGGCTCTTGAAGACAAGACAAATTCCTTTGATGTTTCCTTCACATGCAAAAAGTTTCCATCCATCTGCGTTGGAAGTTTACCTCGAGTGGAACTGTATGATGATTCAGCTTGGCATTCTCAAATGAAGACTTATTCTCCTGCATTAAGTTGTGAAGAATTTCAACCTCTCTTGACAGATGGGAAGTGGATGGTTCCAGAAACTCCTACAGAAATGTGCCCACCTCTTAATTCTAGGCTTCCAGATAAGAGTTTCTCAAGTGAAGAAACTTCTTTGTCTTCACCATTCCAATCTCAGTCTGATGGTTTGGAAGATCAGCAACTAGCTTTCTCAAGTCCTATAGAATCTTTAGCTCCTGTTGTGCTTGAAAATGACAAGTTGTCTTGGTCGATTCTTGACAAACCTATTAGGTCTATAAAAGGATTGAGCAAAAGGCACTCACGTCAGCTAGAAGAATGTGATTTTCATACGGTGGGCATTTATCAGTTTTTAGCAGGACAATATTTTCTGTTAGTTTCTCACAGAAAATGTTCTGCTTGTTTAGGATAATTATGTTTATCACCATATCATATACTTTTTTAACACGTTTCATAATTCACATTTCCTTCCATGTAGTTGCGCAAATTGTTACATCACTTTCCTCGGACCTATGCTGATCTTCAGAACTCACACATGGGAATTGAAGATGGCCAGTACTTGATTTTTGTTGGGAGAATCGTGACTTCCAGGTGTGTTTACTTTTCTCAATTTAGTCATAATTGGTGCTGTGGTTGATTTTAAGGCAGACTTCAGTATTTTCTTCTAGGTTGCGGAATAATACCTATACTAATATTTTATACAATGAAAAATTACTTATATTACGAAGTGACCTAGGTCATTTAAGTTTGGGAGTGATGTATAAATTCCCTAGTTCTTAACGTAGCCTAATTTTATAATTAGTTTTCCTTGAGATAAATAAAATTCTCTCCCTTGCTTGGTGCGCATCGCCAACATGTGTAAGTGATAAATATATGTGTTCTTCATTGTTATTTTCACATCCATTATAATAGTAAGTAGAATTAATGGACTTATACTTCGTAATTGCAAAGAGTTAATGAGAAATTGATAGAAAGGACAGTAGAAACTTGAGTTTTTTTTTCGTGGGATCAGTATAGTTTCTGTTATGTAGGGCTGTGAAAGCCAGCTACTCCCTTTCGTTTTTGGAGGTGATTGTGCGTGGTGAGGTTGATCATATGCTGAATGATGAAGTTGAGCAAGATGACACAAAAAATGAAGGAAAGAAGAGCATATATTTGCATCTGAAGAAATTCTTTCGTGGCACTCGTTTCACTAGTCAAGGTTTTCTTTGGTGCCTAAAGAAAAAGCATAGAGAAGGTGATATTGTGTGTGTTAGTGGCAAGGTAAGGCATTGTGGCTCTCATTTTCAATCTTAGTTTGGTTTTGTATGTGCTTATAGTCCTGACATCTTTTTAGTATTGGCTGTTCTTTTGGACACTTCAGTATATACTTCTCTGTGTTTCTTTGAACTCTGATTATCCTTGCTACTTTGAAGTTACTTAATATAGTTCTGAACATTTCTTCATTTCTTATTTTTTGAGGGAACCCTTCTCTCCCTTCTCTCAAAGGTGGTCCGGAACATGTGCAATTTTCTGTATAACTGTGTGTGCTGCATTTTTTTTAAACCTTACGAGATTCCTGTGAGACTTTTTCTAGCCTGAGATGTCCTTCACCTTTCAATGTGCTTCACTTCAAGACTTCAAGTTTTCTATTGAGAGCTATGCTTGAACAATTTGCCCCACAATTATGATTTCCTCATGTCACAACATTACGCGCACATCCTTATTAGGACATTTGACATGTGGGCACTACCCCCTGTTCCCCAAAAGTAGGGCTGGCAAACCCTAACCCGACACGAAAACCCGACCCGAACCTGACCCGAAGTTACTGAGAGAGACCCGAACCCGACCTGAACCGAACCCGAACAACCCGAATTCGACCCGATTTGCCCCAAATTTCATATTTCGTAATAATATTAAGTTTTACACTATTTTTAATAGTTTCTTAGCATAACCCGAAATCGACCCGAAATCTGACCCGAACCCGACCTGCTGACCCGAATTGCCACCCCTACCCAAAAGATTGGGCCATTGCAAATTTTTAGGTTATTTTCTAATTTTTTGACCTGAAATCTCACCAATCTATGAGAAGTATAGTAATGTTGGATCTTGTTAAATTTTTTTTCAATGTATATTTTTAGTCTATTGAGTTTTAATAAGTTTAAAGAGTGTGGTTGTATGGAAATGGAGATATTAGTGTTTAATATAGCGATGTCATTGTTGATGAGCAGCCCAACAATATAAGGTACACCTATGGAGGAGACTGTTTCCTTATTTTGGGACATTTAGAAAATGTTATGATCAATGTTGTGAGTGCGTGGAGCTATGTTTATGTGTCTTTGAGACAGGGTAGTGCACCAGAGATGAATTATTCAATTGATGACAAAGTGCACTCTTGTTTGTCTGATTCCTTTTCTTCAATTTATCCAATTCCATTCCTTTTTTGTTTGTACTAGAACCAAACAAGCAGTAAGTGAAATAATGTGAGATTGGTAAGCTCTCTTGCAGTAGTTTGTAGGTGAACTTATTTGTGGCAGAGAAGAGCACCTTGAAAGTTGTTATCTAATAGTCTAAAAAGAGTAAGGGTAGCCCCTGTTCCCTCACCCTAGCAAACGGCAGCACCAAAAATTGTTACCATCTTATTAACATGTCCTCGAACCGTTCTGCTGCAGCTACTCTAATTACATTTCTGCTCTGGTTTTGATTTTCTCAGTATCCCTGAAGTCATGGATCATATTTTGCATTGGGTATTTTGTAGATTAGTATCCAGTATCATGGTTTGATGTGTATTTTCTGTGAATTTTAAAAATAATTATTTTTTTTTTATTTTTTTATTTTTTGAAAGGAATTTTTAAAATAATTATTGTTACAGGTGAAAGGCACCTCTAAGGAAGACCACTATGAAATGAGGGAGTATAGCTTGGATGTGATTGAAAACGAAGATGATCCATCTGTTCCATTGAGGGTAGACCATATCCTATATATTCTTCAAAGGGTGGCCTCAAGCCTCAGTTCTTCAAGGATATTATGACAAGGTTCGTTTCCTACTAATTACTTTATTTGTTCCTTGTGTGTTGCCTCTTTAATTTAGTCTTTCTGGTGAATCTGCTGTCAAATATACATTTTGGCATGACAATGATGGCATTGTAGGCACAAAAAATTTGTTAGTGTACTACATTAAATTAAATAAATTAATTTGGGTTAAAATAATGTTAATAATCCATTTTAATTATTTTTACCCGTCTAAATGAATGATCCGAATTAATCTAATATAATTCGGGTTATAAGTGTTTGGGCCAGTTTATTACTAGCTTAATAAGGCAAATTAAATGGACCAGGTGAAAGACTTCCAAGTTGTAAAATGGATCAAGCCCAAATCTACTAAGTTCAATCGACGGGTTCACATCTTCTATGAATACCTCTTCCTCCCTGAGTACAGGATCTAGAAATCATTATTCCTAAGAGCTCATAAAACTCTGCTGCAGTTCTCTCTTAAAACAATCAATAAGTTCATCTAATTCGTGTCGACTTCATCAGAACACTCACACACATTCGAACGGGATTAAGCTTCATAAGCCTTGGATTAGGTGCCTTTAAACAAAAACCCTTAAGCACATCACCAAATGTCACCCTACATTCAAACTTAGGCCGGTGTCATCAAACATTATCCCACAATTTTCATCATCAATTTGCTGAATATTTGCTGAATAGAATTAGAGGGTTTTGTTTGTTATATTATAAACTGTTATACATAGATTGTACCAAATTTAAATTTTAGACTTTATTTCCCGTCTTTATTCATTTAGGGAAATTTTGTAAATAATCACCCCTCAAAACACCCTAAGTAGAACTAATCACCCCTTTTTACGAAATTATAATATACCACCCCGTAAATCAAAATGTTTCGTTTGATTTGAGGTTAGAACCGGAAAAAAGTTATAAAAAATGCCTCGTTTTGCATGCTAATCATTTTGTGGGAAATCCGCTATTATCTTCCTTCTATCCCACTTAGGAGAAACTTAGAATATCTATTTACTAGTAAGCAATGAACACTAACTTAAACTCGAAGCATTTGAGTTGAGAAAAGAAGGTTCCTCTAAGGTTCGCTAGGGCAATTACACCATCTTGCGTGACACATACAAATGAGACATTTTTTATAACTATTTTCAAATTCTGATCTCGAATCGAGCCGAAAGGTCCAAAATGACCCTTAAAACCTTAATAGAGCAAGTTTTGGCACAAAAATCGATGTTTTTCTTTTTAAAAATGAAACTTTTTGTTAAGAAGGGGTGAAATCTAACACTTTTGATTTTAAGAGGTGATATTTATAATTTCGTAAAAAAAATGGTAGTTAGTTCTAAATAGGGTATTTTGAGGGGTTGTTATTTACAAAATTTCCTATATTTAGACTTGAAATTTGTGTAAACAAATTTTGGCTTCCTCGGTGGGACTATCTCTGTCTCTCATCTCTGTTTTCGTACAATAAAAATTTTATTTTTGGGAAACGGCCTTGAATAGCATTGTTGCTACAAAGACATCCACTACAACTTAACAAAAGGCTGCAGAGTTGGCTGAACACCAAATCGGGGGCATCTCCACCATAGAGATGAAGAAAGTTGTTGTCGACTCCGCTGCAACAAGCTTGTGTGTCGTGTCAGTTACTACCAAAGCATGAAAAAGTCGTGCTCGTCCTATTTCTACGAGGCCAGTCACGTCCTCCACTTACAGGCTGCGTGAGAATCTTGTGTTTAGTTCGGACCCTCTTGTTGAACGCGGGCAACCAACCCACCCTTAGTTTAATGTGGCTGTTATGGTGACGCACTTTAAGGCTCTTGGAGAATAATATGCTGGGATGAACAACTTTCTTCAACAAATGAAGAAGGATGGAGAAGAAAAAGATGCTCAAATCAAGCATCAAAATTACTTTGACAAAGAAACTTGACATGACATGACATGATGAGACCGAAAGCGACGACAGTTTGGGTAGTAGTAACTCAAAGGGACCTTAGATAAATGAGCCTTACACTTTAATCACTACTTAAGAAATTCAAGCTATGATAACCAAGGGCTATGAATAATCAACTTCGAGGGGGAACTGACGTTATGTGAAGCCTTACACTAAGAGATTAGATGAATTAAAGATGCCATTCGTATACCAACTTCTGAAATTTCAGCTTTTTGATGGAAAGGGTAACTCGAAACATGTCACTCACTTTATAGAGACATGCAACAATGGTGGTACTATGGGTGCCTTGCTTGTTAAACAATTCGTTTGTTCTCTTAAGGAAATCGCTTTTGACTAGACCAACCTAGATGCTGAATTCATTGACAGTTGGTAACAAATGGAAATGGAGTTTTTGAGTAGTTTCTTTAGTACTGAATGTGTCGGGTTATCGATTACATCAACGGTTGGCGTGCTCTAAGTTTGGAATGTAAAGACCGCCTTACTGAAATCTCTGCCATTGAATGTGAGAACCATCTTAATATGAGAACCACTCTTATGGTGAGAACCACATAAAGTACATGATACATAACTATAAAGTTACATGATAAAAAATGAACAAAATAATTCAAAATAATTTTTTTGAAATATTTTCAAAAAAAAATTGAAATATTAAGGTGCACGTCTTATATCTATAAGGTACATACCCGAAAGATAAAAGGTACATGTTATGATGTTATAAGGTACATCACATAAAAAGTTAAAAATAAAAAAATTTATTTTTTGATTTATTTTTTTTATTTATTTTTTATGTTTAGGAATTGCAAACTTTAAAGTACATGTCATATGTCTATAAGTTACATGACCAAAAGATAAAAGGTACATGTTATGGAGGTATAAGGTACATCACTTAAAAAAAAAAAGGAAAATAGAAAAAAATTGGAATTTTTTTATTTTTATTTAGTTTTATTGCATGTACGTTATGTGTGGTTCTCACAGTAAGAGTGATTCTCATCATAAACATGGTTCTCACATGAACATATATATATATATATATATATATATATTATTTGCTTTAATTTAATCTTAATCTATGTACGTATCATGAGTATATGTATTAATTAACTCTAAATATAAATATTTATCTTAATAAAATTTTAAATTCAAAATAAATAACTTTTAATAATTTATTAAAAACGTTAAGCAAACTTATCACAACAAAATATAATAAGTCAAAAGAAAAAAAATGGTACATATTTTAACAAAAGCTAAAATGAGTACGAGGAATGAAGAGCTAAATCTGGTTGAATCTTAAAGAGTCTTAACATGATTGTATAATAAAAAAAAATTAAATTAAATTAATTTTAAAATCTGATGTGGCTTAGAGCAAGATTAGCGCAGTCTTGTCTTAAGACTTTAATCTTGTGCCACATTATATATTTAATTAAATTTAATTATTTTTTTAATTTACAATCATGTTAATACTCCTTAAGATTTAATTTGATTTAACTTTTCATTCCTCATACTCATTTCAGATTTTATACTTTATAATTTTTCCCCTTTAACATATTATATTTTAATAAAAAATTTACATTGGCCTTGCATGTTGTTAATCTTATTTAGATTCATAGCTGAAAATTAATAGCAAAATAAATGATGCATAAAAATAAAATATAATGAAATTACATGAAATTAGATGATTTAAAAATACATGAAAATTAAAAAATACACATATTGCATTAAAATAGTTGTAAATGTAAAATTGACTAATGTAAAATTGATCTGAATTCAAATCACTTCCCCCAAAACGACTCCACAAATTTTCAACCAAAACATGTTGCAATTGCTGATGTCTTCTTCGATTTCAATGTCTTCTTCGATTTCAATGTCTTCTTCGATTTCAATGTCTTCTTCGATTTCAATGTCTTCTTCGATTTCGAAGTCTTCTTCAATTTTGAAGTCTCGAATAGTTCTCAAAGTACTGTTCACGATTAGCATAATAATTTGGAAGGAGACCAGCCTACACTTGGGTCCATCTTTTTGACTCCTAGCTCTTTTGATACTTTTTCAGGTAATGTTATGCCATTTCTTTCATCCTCGATGATCATATTATGCAATATAATGCATGCTTGCATGACATCTCCAACCTCATGTTTATTTCAAACATGTGCTAGGTTAGAAACTATTGCAAATCTTTTCTGTAACACCCCAAATGCTTGTTTAATACCTTCTTAAAGTCTTGCAAACAACTTCCTCTAGGAAATTAGGAATGGTTTTCACAAAAACTGGCTCTAGATAAATCCCATCTGTGAGATTGTATCCCATATTATAGACAAATCCATTAATAATTGAACTTCAAGACCACGTCCTTTAAGAAAATTATTAAATATTGGCGAGCGATGCAACACATTGATATCATTGTTAGATCATGCAACTCCAAAGTATGCATGCCAAATCCACAAATCATAAGAAGCAACAGCTTCAAGAATTATAGTGGGCTTACCTTGATCACCTTTGGGTGTACATGCCCTTGCCATGCTATTGGGCATTTCTCCTACTTCCAATGCATACAATCGATACTACTGAGCATACCGGGGAAACCACGACATTCCGATTCCTCGAGTATGTTATGAATGTCTTCGACCGTAGGGTCTCTCAAATAACATTTTCCAAATATCTCATTGACACCAATAACAAATTTTCTTAGGCATTCAATTGCCGTGTTTCCAGAATTCACATATAATCATCCACGGCATCGCCTCAAACCCTATATGCCAACATTCTCATTGCTGCAATGTAGTTTTGAAAAGGGGATAATCCTTTTATACCAACTAGAAAATACTCGTAATGATCTTGTAGATTATTTACAATACGAAGGAACAAACCCCTCATTCAAAACCTTCGCCGAAATTAATAATCAGAATATATAGGCCAGGACTATTGGGACTATCGGAAAAGTAATCATTCCATATTCTTAGATGGCCTTCTTCACGACGTTTATTAGTGTGAGGACTTCGTTTTTTTCTAGTATTTTTGGTGGAGGATGAGACAACTTGTGTAATTTCGTTGTTGATACTTGTTAAGATATCAAAA